ACACATTGTACGCATGTGGGGAATCGAACCCGGGTCTTCAGCGTGACTCGCGAACGCTGTAGCCATAAGCCTGTTTTAATGACGTGTCAGACGAGTTATACGTCAATTAACACAGGGTTGTCTCAAAGACAAGATATCGTTTGCCAGTATTCATATCCCGAAGGTTGTTACAAGATTCGGACCAATTATTCAGCAATTTTTGGTTATTATGTTTTTTCTTCTTCAAATGTTAAAATGTCAAAAAATCATTTCCTCCAATACATAGTATTGTGTTTCAACACTTTGTGATCCATAGAGATAAAGTAACTATACTTTCTTTACATCTATTTTGGTATACGTCTCTACAAAATATGAAAGACACTTAATACCTAATACACGACTGACAAGGAACACAAGCCGCTGAAAGAGTTTTTAAAAGTGTCTTTTCATGTTTTTTTGCTTGGGTGGGTGATGGTCATTTTGAGGGGGGGGGGGGCACCATTTTAATACGGGGAGGTAGGGGTCAGCAGTTTTGGACATAAATTGAACATTTATTTTAAAAACTATGCTTAAAAATTATGGGAAGGGGAGGGTGGTCATTGATTTCGTACACGACATACAGGGGGCACTTACTTTGTACATGCTTCGCCATAAATATCATGATGACCTCCTAGCCATAAATTATGAACGGTCCATAAGGATAACAATGTCATTGAACATTCATCCTGTAATTACGAGTTTCCTTTGCAGCTCAGTTGCGTGTGGTGTCGCTTTGAAGTCAATTCTTCTGAGATGGAAGGTGTTGTTGAAAAGATGGACGACCCAACAGATAAAATAGAGTGTCTCCTGCACAAAATACATCCTTGTGAGTTCTATATATTTAGCAAACATTTTAGGCTGATACTTTTAATTAAGAAGTAAGTTTTGTCCATATAGCTACAAATATATGGTATCCACACAAATGTCCAGTCCCACGTCGGCGGAGTGTAAATAATCGAGTCCTGAACTGACGATCCATTGGCTAACATCATGAGCATCAATCCATACAAATGGGTTACGATGACATTGCATCAATCAAGTCATCAGAATAAATCTGACAGAATCTACGAGTAAGGACCTGGAAATAGGTGTCGAGTGATGCATGGCCATTTTGAGCCTGAGGGGGTCGGTAGAGTAGCCTTGTGGTTGAAGCGTTCGCCCGTCACCCCGAACACCCGGGTTTGATTCCCCACATGGGCACAATGTGTGAAGCCCATTTCTGGTGTCCCCGCCGTGATATTGCTGGAATTTTGCTAAAAAGTGGCATAAAACTAAACTCTCACTCACTTTGAGCATCAGCAGTATTCCAACACAAAATCCATTGAAGGAGTATGGATTTGCATCACTTTTGTTAGCTATTGTAACAATATCACGGCGGACCTTGGAGAAGAAAGGTGACGCTGCACATAAACATACTAACACAACAGTGTTCTATCAAACTGCGAAAACGCAAATAATTCCAACCATAATACTGATCTCGTGATGTTTGTAACGAGACAAATAGCAGGCTGAAGTAAACCCACCCGCTTGTGTTCAGCGTCACCATTTGTCGCGTCGTTTAAAGGATAAGGGTCGCGGGGTAGCCTAATTTTTAAAGCGTAGGCTCGTTACGCCGAAGACCCGGGTTCAATTCCCATAAAGTGTTAAGCCCATTTCTAGTGCCCCTTCCGTGATAGTCCTGTAATATTGCTAAAAGCGGCGTAAAACCATATTCACTCACTCATTTTAATCGATAACATGTAAGTCAGTGTCACCAAGGTAAAAGCTAAATGTACCGGATCAATGAATACATTACTACTTTGAAATGCACCAAGTGCACAACAAACATTGGAGACCCAGCGTAAATGGTTCATAATTAAACGATGGCTCTTGTATTTGTTGTGCACTCACGTTCAAAGACAAAGGGGATGCAGGCAAGAACCTTTAAATGGAGTTATGGTTTTAGCGGGGGTGCAATACCTAAAGACAAGGAGAGGGTTTGTCAGACCATTTTTGACATGACTGACTTCCCCTAATTTACTTATACCCGGCTGTCTTTAATTCCCTTTGTAATCCTAAAGGCCTTCATGCAAAGTTTCGTTCTCTCAATATGATATACCTTTTTCATGCAGGCTTCAAACGAAATGAAAAAAACTTCGCAGTTTATTTTTACCCTCAAAATTCTGTTTGTATGTTTGTTTCTTTGTATTTTTGATGTTTATGAATCCCTGGCTTATTAACACAAACACAACTGTCAGCCTGTAATTCTGTACAGTCTTCAATGTCTGGTTTACAGCGATATTTAACACGGGTGACCTGAGGTTTCCTGTGTTTTATCTAGTGATGTTTACTCAATCAATTCATTGAGGTTCATATTGCGAAGATGCCATCCGCCAAAGTATATGGTCTTTCAACCAACCACACATCATTTTGTATATTGTTTTAGAACCCCGTTAGAGGTATTGTGATCAGTCTGCTGGTAATGCTGTGTTTTACTTTGTTCTGTCAAAATGGAACAGTCAATCATGTGGTTGCTTATGTTTCCTTCAGTCATGTGCAATGTTACCTTCCTGTATGTCTCATTTATGATATATGGCTATGTATTATCTGAGTTGTCACTTTGCGAAGTGAGAATAGCGCCAGACACAAGTCAAACCAGTCGAAATTATGGTCCATAATGAGCAAATTTATTATGCGAGTGAAATGCCAATCTCTTTTTCCAAATACATTCTGATTTGAACAGCTGAATAATTTATTACTTCCGATCAAAACGATAGTGACACTTTTGAACATTAGATGTTGTGACACTTGTTCATGCATGAACCTTTGTCATGAAAGAAAGAAAAAAAGATTATTTTAGATATTGAATAGGGGTGGGTATTGCAGAGAATTTTCATATTGCGATATATTGCGATGCGGAAGCATATATTGCGATATTTATTGCAATATATTGCAAGGATTATTCTTTTAACAAAAACTACTTATAATCGAGTTAATGCTTGATTATAAAGCAAAAAACACAACAAAATCACTATGATTGATTAACCTTTTATAAAAAAATTTAATCATGACAAAATAAAAATGTAAGTAACATTTGGCACTAATGAAACGCGGAAAAGAACTATTAAAAAAACGGAAATATCCGAAGATTTCCGAGTGTTACGAAGTTTTCCGAATGCATGTCAAAATACCGGTTTTCGATCAGCGTATCGCAATACGTATCGTTTTCATGTCTGAACCGGTAAATACCGGTAAACCGGTTATATTGCGCAGCCCTAATATTGAATACTGCCAAACACTGTTCCAACTATTGGACAAATTGCTGAATGCCACTGTCTATCTTGTGGCAGATCAGAAAAAACTCTACAACACAACATTAAACAACAGGGTGGATGAGTGAGTGAGTCAGTTTAGTTTTACGCCACACTCAGCAATATTTCTGCTATATGAAGGCGGTCTGTAAATAATCGAGTCTGGACAAGACAAGTCCGTGATCAACAGCATGTGCATCGACCTACGCCAGTGGGATACGGTGGCATGTGTCAAACAAGTCAGTGAGCCTGACCACCCGATCCCGTGAGTTGCCTCCTACGACAAGCATGGTTTGCTGAAGACCAATTCTAACACGGACCTTCAGGGATTCACAGGATGGATGAACACCGGCAGTGAGAGAACAGTTGTTTTCAGGTTTCAGGAGTTCTGACTGGACGAGATGAAGGACGTCGAGTACAGATGACACGAAAGCAATCAAAGTTCTGTTTGGAAATTATTGGGATCTTATCGCTTCTAAAGCCTGCTTCTCAAGGATAACCTTTAGTCACAACAATATATTCAAATCTTCAAGTGATTTTGAGGTGAGTTGAGGTGAAATGGGGTTTAACGTCGTGCTTGAGAATATTTCGCTCAAATGACGACGTGCATGCGTGTGTATGTGTATGTTCGGCTGCTTGTACTAGCCCAGACTGAAGCTAGTTTTATAGTGCTAGCCCACTGAGATACCATGCCGCAGAGAAGCATGAATACCCCACTCAGACACATTATACTGACTCCGAGCCGACCAGTCCTTGTTGTACCCATTAATGCCGAGCGCCAGGCAGGCACCAACAAGTACCATATTTTAACATCTTTTGGTATGACGCGGTCCGGGCTCGAACCCGCGACCTTCCGCTCTCCGGGAGGACGCTTTAACCGCTACACCACGGAGGTGGTCTCAAGTGGTTTTGAGGTCAAAACGTCAATTCCTGCTTAGTCTGAACTCAAGACACTAACTGTCAAGGAAAGAAGAGGGTAAGTGTAGGCTGGCACACATTTGAAAGCAACACAGATAGATATAAGTGGGATTTACACATTGAATCGGTTTCCCATACTCAATTACAATGTTGTGGAGAAAGCAAATGGTCTCCCATTCTTCATCCCAACATCAAGACATTCCTAGGTGCAATGTTGCAAACAAGATATATTTTATACCCGTTTTTTTAAACATAATCCAATAACAAGTACAGAAGCAGCTGGCAAATTGCATTTATCATTGTGGTTGATATGCGTGGATAAAGTGAAGAAACTGTATAGTTTTTTATTTGCCGAGATGGGAGCTCCAATTTTACAGTTTTGACATGTTAGGGACTAGCAGTTTTTACCAATTTTATGTATGTAACAAACCAATATATTACTTGCAGTTTGATAACATGCACGTGTGTGTGTGCACTTGTGTGCGCTAGCTCGCGTCTGTATGTATCTGTGTATGTATTAGTTCAGACTTCTACCAGTAGTACTCTTACTCTACACCACCTGATAATGTCTACAAAGTGTCAAAGCCAACATATTGACAGTCCAATATCTTGTTAGGGATGGATTTCATCTCAGCTGTTCAAAAACATGTCACTCGCTGCCATGACAACCACGCCCACTGATGTGTAGCATTGTTGATAACACTTATTTCGAATGTGTTTAGTTGCTTGACAAACAAAACTGTCCTCCCACAGATATGGTTGACCAAACGTGAAATTGTCATCCTGTCTTGGCTGGTAATATTTACTCAGTCGATCCATGCAGGGCATTAGTGGCACGATAGCATCCATCATAGTGAATTTGATGAAGATAAAGGTTATTCGGCAGAGAGTCAAACAGAGCTTCCAGTGATTTTTCAGTTCACATTGATTGAAAGTAAACACTGTTGACAAACGAGCTATGATACATTCATACAATTGTCACAGCTACGTTTCCAATAGACCTAACGATAGTTTGTTCCTGACGACTGTCCAGATTGGGCATTCTTTTGCGCTTACGTTCTACATGTCCTCAGAAGCAATATGTGATCAGTCTGTTGGTTGACACTGTTGTGTCTACGGCGCCAAAATGGAAAACGTATTGCTGTGGTTACTAATGTTTCCTACAGTTATGTGCAATGTTACCTTTCTTTCTCCAAGAGATCTAGTGTCAGAATATTTATCTCAACATAATCCCTTGGATTATCCGGTGCCTATTTCCAAGTCCATTCTGGAAGTTTCTGTCAACTTTAATCTGCTACATATCGAAGGTCTGGATGAGTCAAATCAATTGTTGACCACCACTGGATGGTTCGTTTTGACGTGGACTCTTGAAGGATTGTCATGGGATGAAACTAAATATCAGAATATCTCAAAGGTTCCGGTCATGCCAAAAGACATGTGGTTGCCAGATTTAGTGATGTTCAATGCGAATGACAACTATGGCCGTCTTGGAGGCGAACATCTCCCAACCTCTATCGGCAACGATGGAACTGTGGTGTGGTACGCCGTAAATCGCCGCTCAACTTCCTGTACTGTGGATGTCACAAGCTTCCCGTTCGACAAACAACGCTGTTCGTTTCAGTTGGTACAGTGGATTACTGACACTTCAGAGGTTAACTACACGTTTCATAATGTACCCATATCCTTTATCTCACATAAAGAAAATGGTGAGTGGGAGGTCTTGGGCTCGTTTGTAGAGAAATATTACTTGAATGAGGGTATGTATCAGACGCTGGTGTTGGGACTTATCCTTGGTCGACGTCGAACTTACTACATACTTACTGCCGTTTTGCCTGTTTGCATCCTATCCTGTCTCAATCTAATGGTGTTTCATGTGCCCCCGGAGTCAGGAGAGAAGATGAGCCTGTGTGTGTCTGTGTTGTTGGCCTATGCAGTGTACCTGACATCCATCAACTCAGTCTTACCCTCTGTGTCCGACCACGTGGCTCTTTTCAGCGTTTACCTCCACTGCATGTTTGTCTTCAAGGCTCTGACTGTTGTGGCGTCAGTCTTTGTCTTACACCTTCATTCAGCACTGCCCAAGTCGACAGTAAGAGAGTTGTTGACAAAATATTTCTCCGGCAGGCTAAAGAAGGTCACATCTGAAACCAGTTTGTCTGATGATCCTCATGAAGATACAAGAGAAAACGACGTGAAACCTCGAAACAATGTCCGTCACATCAAACACCTCCTGCATGAGGAACACTGGGCTGAAATTGTGAAGAAAGTGGACTTTATATTCTTTTGTGTTTTCTTACTGTTGTTCGTTTTGTCGACAAGTGGATTTTTCTGCGCGATTGTGTTCAGGCATCAGTAAATTAGAATATGTTGTTACTTCAATCATAGTGTTATAATACGTGTTTTCTGCTTTTTAACGGAAGTTCATGATGTGTTTTCTGAATTGCATTTTCAAAGACCAACTACCCAAATATAGTGTTCTGTACTTACAGTACTTTAGAATAGATTCAAACATACTGTTCAGCCTCTGTACTGATCTTAATATGTGATCACTGAACTTTATATTCTTTTGTATTTTCTTACTGTTGTTCGTTTTGTCGACAAGTGGATTTTTCTGCGCGATTGTGTTCAGGCATCAGTAATTTAGAATAGATTCAAACATATTGTTCAGCCTCTGTACTAATCATGATATCTGAAAAGTTGCATCACAAATAACACTAATAATCGATATAGGTGTAGGCTATTTTAGTCAGTTTTGGGGCGCTTGCTTCATGTTTCTGTTTTGTGCTTTCTTTGATTTTATTAAAGGTTTTGATACTGTTTGGAGAAGCGGCCTTTGGTATAAATTATTTCAGAGTAATATGGATGGAAAATGTTTCTGTATCATAAAGAATTATATAATATAATATGTATGAGCATATAAAATCTAGAGTTGTACATGATACTGTAGTAATCTCCCTTCCTTTTTGCTTTGTATATAAATGATCTTGAGTGTTTGTTTTCTTTATGAACATGATGCAACTGGCCTCGGACATGTAAATAAGCTTATTAAGGACCAGCTTGGTATTTTTATGAAATTGTTGATATTACTTTACGCTGACGATAATGTCATTTTAGCTAACAACAAGTGATGGATTGCAAAAATCTTTGAATGTGTTTGACCAATATTGTAAAGAATGGAAAATTAGTTTGAATTTAGAAAAAACAAAGGTTGTTATATTTTCAAAAGGATACTGTAAGAAGAAATACACTTTTACGTGAAATGGTACAACTATTGACATCTCAAATGAATATCTGTATCTTTGTGTACTTTTCACTGGTAATGGTCGGTTCGTTAACGCAATCAAACACCTTTCTGTACACGCTAATAAGGCAATGTTGTTATATTTAAAGCATTCGTAAACTTGATATTCCGATAGACTGCCAATTGAAATTGTTGGATAATCATGTTAAATCAATCCTTCTCTATGGCGCCGAAGTGTGGGGGTTTGAAAATGTTACCATAATCGAACGTGTCCATCTTAAATTTTGCGAATATATTTTAAAAAATGTGAAACAATCAACTCCAGATGTTATGATTTGCGGCGAATTAGGTAGATACCCCATCTGTATAACCGTAAAAGTTAGAACTATATCCAACTGGGCTAAAATGTTATGTTGTAATGGCAAATTAAATACCATTTTTTATAATGTCATGTACAATTTATATTCTTCAAATGCTGATTTTTATTTTCCATCATTATCAAGTGTCAAACGTACCCTCCAGGATACTGGATTGTCTTATATTTGGCCAATCTGTACCTAGCATTGTTTGGCTTAAAAATAATGTACAGTTCATTCTAACTGATCAGTTTAAGCAGTTATCGTGGCGCTCTGCTGTCGACTCATCGAAGGGTTATTACTAAATAATGTATAAGCATTCACTATTTTTAGAACCTTATTTGTTACAATTACCTTATTACTATAGACGCTGGTTAATTAAATTTAGAACTTCAAACCACAGGTTGCCCATTGAAACAGGACGTTGGTACGGCATCGAACGATGTAATAGAACCTGCCAACTTTGTACATCATCTGTCTGTGATGAACTTCACTTTCTATTATACTGTCCAGCACTCAATGCCCTCAGACATCAATTTCTTCCCCAATATTTCTGTAAACATCCTACTATTGAAACATTTGTTTATCTAATTAAATGTGATTATTCACCACTTAACTCTAAAATTGCCAAATTTATCAAAACTGGACAATGTTTTAATATGTTCAAATTGCTGTACGTTCTCTGTGTCACTATATGTGATTTTTTAGAATAAAATTTCTGTTCTGTTCTGTTCTGTTCTGTCACAATGCTAAGTCGTTAATTATTTGTGTAATGTGTAATCTGTATCAGCTGATGTAGGACTGTGTGCATAGCTGTGTGCATAGTGTGTGTTGTGACAAGTAAACCTACAGACTGAATTAAACGACAAACTTGTCTATTAGAGGGAGTGAGTGAGATGCAACAGAAAACATGGGCTGGTATAATTAAACGATTGAGTTTGCTAATGCACATGTTCACAAAAATATATGACGGTACTATAGTCCGTTTGATTTCATTTGAGACCGATGAATTGCCCACTAACACAAAATCTAACAATTGCAACAAAACCAAATTTTGCACAGTCACATGAAACTCTGATGATTTGTCTCATAATTTTGGACACGCGAATAAAAACGTTGTTTAAGAAATGGTCATTATTTTGTTGTCACTTTTCGCTATTTCTTACGAGGGAGGACCACCTGCTGGTAGAACAGCCAGATAATCAAAAAGCGTGTGTAGTGAAATTTCAGTTTCACACGTGCAACGGGCACACCTGGCTGCACTATTAGCAAGTGAAACAATACAAAGGATGCAGTACAATATGAAATAATAATTCATTTATGTACACATGTTCACTTATTATTGGAAAAGAAATAATTATGTTTCTATTCATCCATTAAAACTGTATTTAACTGAGAATTGTATATTGATGCTGTGAAGAACCAAAAATACAGAAGGTCAAAACTTCTATTTACAACAAATTTTAATCGTTTAAGAGTACATAATGTCCAAATAGGTGTTTGGAATGCTGAAAATGCTGATAGTGATGTTCCCTGTGTAATAGACGTTGAGTAACATATATTTTATCAACGCCCATTGCATAATAGTCTCCGTATGGAATTAACTGTCTCTACAATCTAACATACGTCCCAATAAGTTTAAACATTTACTGAATTCAAATGATACAAATGCTTTGTTTATATTAGGAAAATACTTCGATAACATCTTTAAGATCCATCTACAACAACTGTAACGCGCATTCTGTATAAATTTGTATGAATAATGGGTCATTTTCGCCTTGAAAACAATAAAGATGATGATGATGTAGATGCAGATGCAGATGATGATGATGATGATGCAGATGCAGATGATGATGATGGTGTGGTGATGATGTTGATGATGATGGTGTGGTGGTGGTGGTGGTGGTGACGATGATGATGATGATGATGATGATGATGAATATTCACTAACGTATTTTGTTGCAAAAACGGAATGTAGTTAACGGGAGAGCGACGGTACCTTTGCATTAGTAGACTTTTTGTATCTAGTACTGACGCAGTAGTTTGATCAAGGTGACCTCAGTCAAGGCCACAGTAAAACTTTCAAACCGTTTTATGGTGAACACGAGGATTCATTAGTACCTTGTACAATACGTTCCCGTTTTTCCTGAGGTGAATATTGCCTGACACTTCTGCGTGTTTTTGACCTACGGTGGGGTAGGTTTTAATCGTAGCATTTTTGTCTTAAGTATGGCTAAATCTCAGCATAAACGCCCATGGCTGAAGGGATGGTGTAAATCCAGCTAGGGTCCATGCAGGTAGCAAAAGTAATGTAAGTCCCCATGGGCCCTAGTATATGATCTACCTTCAGTTGTTGGCGATCAATAGCCCACTTTTATATTGTATTGTCCAAATATAATTTTCTACTTTTACAGATATAGGCTAGCTAGTTTTGCCTCATTTGTGATAACCTAGTGATTTTACTGTCCTTCGTTGACAGGGTTTTATATATTATATTTATGTATTATGAATTTCGAACTAGTCACGATATGGCTGAAATATTGCCGATGTGACTCACTCACTACGGTGGGGTAGGACAAGCTCATGTTATGCAACAACGCATGCTCATGATTTAGTGAAAATCGGCTGTTGGAGGACATTTTTTGTGGTTTTCATTTACGAGACAATGTGAGGTGAGGTGAGGTGATATGGGGTTTAACGTCGTGCTTGAGAATATTTCGCTCATATGACGACGTGCATGCGTGTGTATGTGTATGTGCGGCTGCTTGTACTAGCCCAGACTGAAGCTAGTTTTATAGTGCTATCCCACTCAGATACGATGCCGCAGTGAAGCATGAATACCCCACTCAGACACATTATGCTGACATGAGCCGACCAGTCCTTGTTGTACCCATTAATGCCGAGCGCCAGGCAGGGACCAACAAGTACCATATTTTAACGTCTTTTGGTATGACGCGGTCGGGGATCGAACCCGCGACCTTCCGCTCTCCGGGCGGACGCTCTAACCACTACACCACGGAGTCGGTCTACGAGACAATACACACGGAGACATCTATCTCTGGGTATGAAACATTTCTTAGCACAGCATTTATATGCTAAATCATCATGTCTAGCGATAACTTATCTCAAATTTCACATTTCTATTGACAAAGTTGTTTAACACATATTCGTTTACCTAAATTCCCTTAACGGATACTGTGTACGTTTTACTGTACATAACATGATGTTCACTTTAAAGTGGTGTATGTATTATTCAACAACAAAAACTCATGTCAGCTTGGCTGCAGCTCTTCATTGTATGTCTCATTCATGATATATGGCTATATATTATCTGAGTTGTCACTTTGCGAAGTGCGAATAGCGCCAGACTCAAGTCAGAACAGTCGAAATTATGGTCCATAATGAGCAAATGTATTATGCGAGGGAAATGGCAATCTATTTTTGCCAGAGTTTTTCCAAATACATTCTGATTTGAACAGCTGAATAATTTATTACTTCCGATCAAAACGATAGTGACACTTTTGAACATTAGATGTCGCGACACTTGTTCATGCATGAACCTTAGTCTTAAAAGATACCAAGAAAGATTATTTTAGATATTGAATACTGCCAAACACTGTTCCAACTATTGGACAAATTGCTGAATGCCACTGTCTATCTTGTGGCAGATTCAGAAAAAAAACTCTACAACACAACATTAAACAACAGGGTGGATGAGTGAGTGAGTCAGTTTAGTTTTACGCCACACTCAGCAATATTTCAGCTATATGAAGGCGGTCTGTAAATAATCGAGTCTGGACAAGACAAGTCCGTGATCAACAGCATGTGCATGGATCTACGTCAGTGGGATACGATGGCATGTGTCAAACAAGTCAGTGAGCCTGACCACCCGATCCCGTGAGTTGCCTCCTACGACAAGCATGGTTTGCTGAAGACCAATTCTAACACGGACCTTCAGGGATTTACAGGATGGATGAACACCGGCAGTGAGAGAACAGTTGTTTTCAGGTTTCAGGTTTGTTTTCAGAGTTCTGACTAGTTGGACGAGATGAAGGACGTCGAGTACAGATGACACGAAAGCAATCAAAGTTCTGTTTGGAAATTACTGGCATCTTATCGCTTCTAACGCTTGCTTCTCAAGGATAACCTTTAGTCACAACAATATATTCAAATCTTCAAGTGATTTTGAGGTGAGGTGAAATGGGGTTTAACGTCGTGCTTGAGAATATTTCGCTCATATGACGACGTGCATGCGTGTGTATGTGTATGTGCGGCTGATTGTACTAGCCCAGACTGAAGCTAGTTTTATAGTGCTAG